TTTCATTTTGTTATCATATTAACCATAAAATATAATAACTGAAAATGAATGAGCTATATCTTCTGAATATAAAAAAGAAAATACTTGATAAAACGAAATAACTGAAAAATAATATAAAAATAACGATAGAAATTAAAGTAAAATTATAACAAAAAATTAAATTAATTATTTTTTTTTCCATCAGTGATACTTCTTTCTTCTTCACAGATTGTTCTTTTTTATGGTTCCATTGTTGTCATCAGAAAGTTTATAAAAGTGAAGGAAATCAGAGTTTTTTTTGGTGATTTGCTAAATTGTTATTTTTGAAGCCTGTTTTGTTATTAAAGACCAAATTAATGTCATAAAGAAAAAAAAGTGAATCGTAAATTATGAAAATACTAAAAAAGAATGAAATATCCTTTTCTTCAAGTTATTGAATTTAGTAAAATAACATTTTCAAAGAGAAAGTCAAACAAACTCTCCTTCATCAAAAAGTGATCGTTGTTCAACAATACTTCATTCCATCAATATTTAAACACAAATAAACTAGTTTTTGTCATGTCAAAAGTATTCACAAGTAAAACTGTTAAAATTACAGTCAACCAAGATGATTGTATTGGGTGTGAGGCTTGCGTTCAGAATTGTCCTGTCCAAGTCTATGAAATGATAGATGGTAAATCAAACGCAACAAATGTTGATAGTTGTTGTAAAACACTTTCATGTGTTTCAGTTTGTCCTGTGTCTGCCATCACAGTTGAAGACGTCTAATTTAGTTCTGTCTTTTTATATCTGGTTTATTTGTCAGGATTCTTTGAAGTAAAAATGATAGAGTTATTGAGTGATTCAAGAAACAGCGATGCAAAGAATCTAGAACTCTATTTGTTTCACATAATTTTAATTAAATCCTCAAAGTTAGATAGTTGAATGTGACTCTGAATTCTCCTTTTTACAACAACACATTATGTTCTTTCATTTACAGTTATTTGGTGAATTTATCAAAGGATCAAATGAAACAGGATAAATCCAAAAAGAGAAGAAATAAAATAATAGAGATAGTGTTGGAGGTAAAGGATATTCAGTGTAATAAGAAAGAAGATTGTAACAAATATACATAACTTTATGACAAAAAGAATGAAAAACAAGACTGGAAATAACAAGACCGAAAAGTATTGAGATAGAGCAAGAAAGAATCTAAAGATCAAATGAATATGACTTAATCAACAAGAATGATTAATTGAACAAAAAATGAAGAAGATTAATTTTTGTGACAAAAGAAAGAAAGGATGTGTTTTAAAAAAGAAATATACAATAAGTAATTGTAATAAATTCAAGAAAATAAGAACAATGAAACGTAAGATAATTTTTAAATACAAAACAGAGTAAAAATGATTGAAAAGACAGTAAAAAGTATGTAATAAGAAATAAAGAATTTTTCATAGAAATAGAAATTCATTGATAAAGAAACAACTGTTATTTTCAATAAATTAGACTAAGAGAATAAAAGATAGAGTCAAAATACTTTAAGAAGAAAAATAAATAAAAAAATAGAAATACAAAAACAAAGCTTAATATAAAATATCATCAGAAGATTTAAAAGAAGAAGAATTGAAAGTATTAGTAGAAGATGTAGAAATAAGTAGAAACTGTACTATAAATGAATTTATGTATGGAATGGATGTAAACTTATTTTTAAGGATTAAAAGAATTGAAAAGTATATATAGATTCCGTGTTGATTTCATTCTACCAAAAGTCATCAAACAGAAAGTAATATTGAGCCATAATTTCATTGTGAACACAAACATGAAGAATTAAGTAAAGAATGAGTTATTTGTATATTAATTACCAAAGATTACAAATTTAAAGTAGATAAAAAGATTACAAAGTGGGTCTTATGATGATTGGATGGTGAAGAAATAATGGAACTACTGTTACTTCAGGGAATATTGTAATAAATATCATCTTTGTTTGATTAATAGAAGAGGAATTCATGAACCAAATTATTATGAACCAATATGCATAGTCAATTACAATGAGACTAGAGCTACATCGAAGGAGAAGAACTTTTACCATTGTTTGTCTAGATAGTATTGTAGTAGGATGATGGAATATTTTAAAAGTAAATATGACAGAGGTATTTAAGAGAGCATAAGTAGTATGTTATTGTCTTCAAAGACAGTTATGTCCATATATGAAAGAATTAGTTTACCATCAATTTATTATAAATCATATATAACATCAAATCAAGATGATAGAGCGAATAATATTATTTCAGGAACTAAACAAAACCATCTTGATGCAATAAGAAAATGAATTAGATTTTAAAGCACAACATGGAATTGATAAAATAGTTATTTTATGCAACAGAAAGATATGTAGAAATAAAAGAAGGACTTAATGGCACTGAAGAAAAATTTATTAAAATCTATTGCATCAGAAGAAGTATCATATCAACTATTTTTGCAACAGCAATTATTCTTGAATAATGTCCATTTGTAAATGGATCACCACAAAATACACTTGTACTATGTGTAATTGATTTAGCAAATAAACAATGAGTACAATTATGGGAGATGAATTTAAAAAAGGATAAAAAAAATTAAATTTGTTCTTGCCGATTTTCTAGTTTCATCAAGACTTAAATTACAATCAATTGTATCATATAATCACTTAGAAATAATGATGGAAAGAATTTAAGTTCACTACCACAATTTAGATATAAAGAAATATCAAAATCAAACGTTGTTTCTGATGTTGTTAAATCAAATAATATTATCTATAAAGAAGAAGAACACCAGACTATGTGATTGATATTAAATATATTCCATATGTAGGAGATTCTAAAAGAGCTATGGATGAATATACTTCTGAAATTTTCTTATGAGGACATAATACAATTGATTTTCATAATACTTGTGAATATTCTCTTTTTAGTACTCCTTTAATGATTGATTTAGTTGTTTTAATAGAATTTATAACTAGAATTACATATTCTATTGATGGTAAAGAATTTAAAATCTTTAATTCTGTAAGTTTATGATTTCTTATCTTTTTAAAGTACCTGTTGTACTAAAAGGATCTCCAGTTATTAACACTCTCTTTAAACAAAGAGAATGTTTTGTTCATTTCTTTAGAATTCTTCTTGGATTCCATGTGATAATCATCTTTTTCTTAAAGGAAAGATTGAGTATTTCTGCTAATTAATTATTAGAGTGTGTTCTAATTAAATTAAATCATTTTGATTCATTTTATCTTTCTTCAATGTTTATTTTGTTCGATTCTTTTTGAATATAAAAGAATATAATTATATTAAATAATAAATGAAAAAGAAAATCAAGAAATAAGTAAATATTTATTCTTTATTCAATAGATTAAAAGTAATGAACACAAAAGATAAGAGATTGAATTTCATATTATTAAAATTCTTTTGAATATTTTTTCTACTAACAATAATTATAAAAAATGAAAAAAAAAAATTAAAAAAATGATTGAATCAAAGAGGAATTGTATGATAAATAATTCAAAGGAAAAGAAATTCAAAATAATGAAGAAACTAAAAAAAAAAAAGAATTTAGTTTTTTCTTTAATGTCACAATTACCTCAAAAATCATTTATTGGAAGAAGAAGACCAGTTACTCTTGTTGGAAATTCACAAACAAGTTTAACAGAAGGATTAGAAAATTCTTCTGTTATAAAAACAGAAGGTATAGAAAATCGAAATTCAGGAAATAGTGATACACATTCTAATGGAACAATAGAAAGAATTGATAAATTAACACAAAGAATTGTTCAATTAGAAGAAGTTGTTCATAATTTAACAGAAGAAAATACACGACTTCAAGAACAAATTAGTGAAGTACCAAGAACACCACAACAAATAAATAAAGAATTTGAATATTTTTGTAATCAAATGCCAATTAGAGGAAGATCATTTATTACAGGACAAATTGATACAAGAACAACATTTATTCAAAGAAAAATTACAGTTAATTTTCCAAGTGAATTTCCAGAAGAACCAGTTGTATTTGTTTTTCATTTATCTATTACAGGATCAAGTAATAAAGTAACAAATATTGTTAAAGATGTTTCAGGATTTACAGTTGATTTTGGAGGAGCAATTAAAGATGTAGCAACAATTTTTTGGATTGCATATATTCCAATTAAAGTTAAAAATAAATTTATAGAATTAATAAATACATTAAATAATTCAAATAATATGACATCAAAACAAATAGAAAATATAATTTCAACATATATTAAAAAACAAGGAGTTGAAGATGAAGATAAAGATGGAAATACATTACTTCATCATTTAGTAATATTAAATCAACCAAAAATGATAGAATTAGTATTAAATAAAGGAGCTAATGTTAATGCACTTAATAAATTTAAATATTCACCATTACATACAGCATTAAGTCAAAATGAAATTAATATAGAAGTTGTTTCTAAATTATTAGAATATCATCCAGATATTCATATTAAAAATGAAACAATGAGAACACCATTACATTATTTATGTAGAAATATACAATTAGAAAAAAATATTTCAATATTATATAGATTAATATCAAATGAAAAAGAACCTAAAACATATATTAATGAAATATCTAAAATAGGAGAAAGTTCATTAACATGTGTTTGTTCAACATCAATGAATGAAGAAGCAATTAAATATCTTTGTGAAAATGGAGCAAATGTTAATCAAATAACAGAAAATGGAACATTTCCACTTTATTATGCAGTAAAAAATAAAAGAATTGATATAATGCAAATTTTATTAAAATATGGAGCTGATATTGATATGACATTTAAAGGAAAACCAATTATGAAAATGGCAGAAGAAAATGGACAAATGGAAGAATTAGTATCTTTAATTGAAGATAAATATTCATTATCAATATTAAGTAATGAAGAAATTAAAAGAAAACAAAATACATTTGATACACCAAAAAAATTAATTGAAACATGGACAAATAATACAACTCAAAGTAAAATTATTCTTATTAATCAAAATACTTTACCAGATTATCATATTGAAAATTTTTATACATCATGTACTCATAAATATGATGAACTTATGAATAAAAATTATCATGATGTTACTCTTCCAATTACATATTATCAAAATTTTATTAAACCATTTCCACATTATCATTATTGTATTTTAAGAACTGATATTCATACAGGTACAAAAGAAAATATTATTATTACAATTAAACAAGATTCTAATGATAAAAAATTTATTGTATGGACTAAAAGATCAACAATTAGAAAAACTGCACCAATAGGAATAAATGATATACAAATTTTAAAAGAATTTGGATATAAAGGATCAAAAGCAATTCCAATATCATTAATTGATATAAATAATAAAATAGAAAAATTTGAAAATTATTTTATAATTAAAGATTATAAATTTGGTATTTTATATGCTAAAGAAGGACAAACTATTGAAACTGAATTCTTTAATAATAAAATTGGAAGTAATCATTTTGAAAAATTCCTTGAATTATTAGGAAAAAAAATTAAATTACAAGGATATAATGGATTTGCTGGAGGATTAGATACAAAACATCAATTAACAGGAGAATATTCATATGTTAGTTCATTTTCTGATGATAAAATTTCAATTATGTATCATATTGCAACATATTTACCATGGTCTGATAATAATCCACAACAACTTGATAAAAAGAAACATATTGGAAATGATATTGTTGTTCTTATTTTTAAAGAATATAGAGGAAAACCTGATTTAATTGATATTTCATCATTTAAAACACAATTTAATCATGCATTTATTATTGTTGGATATGATTTAAATCAACCAGAAAATGAAATTCCAAAATATAGTGTAAATATTATGTGTAAACATGATATTTCTCCTTTTCCACCTTTTATTACTACTGATCAATATACACATTCTCAATTATTTTCAAATTTCCTTATAGCTAAATTAATTAATGCAGAAGTTGCTTCAAGAGAATCATCTCAATTTAGAACAAAGAATGTAATGATTAGAGGTAAATTATTAAATGAAATGGTAGAAGGAAATTGATTTTTTGTTTTAATATTTTTAAAATTTTATTTATTTATCATAATAAATTATTTTTATTTTTTTTTTTTTAATTATTATATTTTTCATTGTTAAAAAAGAACTTTTTAAAAAAAATAAAAATAAAAAAAAAATAAAAAAATTCACTACATTTATTTATATTAAAAATTTATAATAATGAATAGTGAGAGTATTGAATCTATTGAAAATTTTAAAGAATTTAAACCTATATTACAACAACAAATTCTTGATAAAGAATTAAAATTTATGGAAGAAGTAAGACAAAATCATGAAGCATTTAAAGATCTTGATTCTAATTTAACATTTCTTATTGAATGTGTTGATTCATTAAAAAAACGAGTTATTGAATTATCAAATGAATTAAATCAAACATTTACAGGATTTCAAAATCTTCATGGAGAAGCAAAAAAAATTAATCAATTAGTTGAACAAGATAAACATTCACATATATTAATTTGTTCATTATTAAATAAATGTATTCCACCACCAGAATTAATTCAAAGATTATTAACTAGTTCTATTGATGAAAAATATGGAAAAGATTTAACAATATATCATCAAATATTAGTTAATTTTGAAGATATAAAAGAATTATATAAAGAATCACCTATTATTAAAATATGTAAAGAATATCATAAACATACTACACAAATTATATGTCAAAGAATTTATGAAATTATTTCAGATAAACTTAATAAATTATCACAATCAAATCCAATTATTCTTCAACATTTATTAGCAAATAATTATTCTATTCATTTTAGATTTTTAATGTATTATTCAGAAGAAAATTGTATTTTATTAAGAAATAATCATATGGAAACAATGAAAATTTTATTATATCAATATTTTCAAAGTTATACAGAAGAATTACTTAAATTAAAATCAAATAAACCAATTTCAAAAACATTTGAATTAATTGAATATTTACCTAAAGAAAAAAAATTTAATCCATGTATTGAAAAAGAAAAAGATATTATTGGAGCACTTAATAAAATTAAATTAAGAATTGATATTCAAAGAAATATTTCAAATCTTGATGATCAAATAATTATTCCTAGTATTCAAAATGATAATAAAGATAATAAATTTGAACTTGAAACAATTATTGATAGTTTATATCGTGTTTTATTTGATACAATTGCTAGTCATGTTGATTGTTATTGTAGATTATATCGTAAATTAAATATTGATAATTCTCAAATGTTAAATGAAGTAAATAATATGGTTAAAATAGTTTTTGAACCAATTTTTCAATATTTAATGCAAACAATTATTGAAAAATTAATTATTTATCAAAATCTTGATAGTTTTTCTTATTTTATTTATTTAAGAGAATTTGTTAATTGTCAAAATTTTATTGATAAAAATTATGATATTTTAAATGGTGTAATACCTTTAAGAGAACATCTTAATACTGTTACTCAATTAGTTATTACAAAAGTAAATTTTTTATTAAATAATACAATTATATTTGTACAAACTGCTTCAAATCAATTTAAAAAAGAAAAAAGTCCTATTCATTTATTAACAAGAAAATATGCACAATATAATGCTTTATTACATTATGCTCATGTAATTCATTATTATCAAGATTTAGAAGAATTACAATGGAAATTTAGAACAAGTATTGAATCATATATTATTAAAACATCTGCTTTTGAAAATAATAATATTGAAATTAATACTGTTTTTAATGAATTTCTTAATATTGTTTATATTACTTGTTTTTTAAAAGAACAAGATGAACAATTTATAAAATTACAAAAAGATATTCATGATTTATCTATTAAAGAAAAACAAACAATGAATGCCGATATTTTTAATTTTCAACATAATTTAGAAATAAAACGTGAAACTTTAGTTAATCTTATTATTGAAAAATTCTTTTTCTTTCTTCTTGAAACTATTAATACAATTAAATCTTTTGAATATAAAAAAGATCAATATGGTATAAATGAAATTGAATTAACTCAATTTATTGATCATTTAAAAGGATTTATTCCAATATTTAAACAAAAATGGATTCTTAAATTAAAAGAAATGATGTTATTCGTTGTTGATTTAACTGAAATTAAAGATAAAACAATTGAATATTGGAATGATATAGAAATTGAAATTCATATTGAATTACAAAAATATCTTTTAAAATATTTTTTAACTTTATGTGAAGATTTTGATAAAAAATTAAAAGGAAATTTAATTCCATCTGAAAATCGTTTAGAATTAGTTCGTGGTTTTACTACTTTTGCTGCAATTTATGCTGAAGTAACAAAATATATGGAAGCAATTCAAAAAGGTATTCCATTTTCTTCAATTTAAATAATTTACTAATTCTTTTATTTTTATTTTTTTTTATTTTTTAATTTATTCTTTCTTTTAATATCATTTTTTCATTCATTTAAAGAACTATTTTTTCAATTCCTTCTTAATTGAAATTTATGAAAACTACAATTAATTATCCTACTACTGTTATTTCTGAAAAAGATTATGAATATACAATTAAATTATTATTTGTTGGTGATATTTCTACTTTTTATCAAAGAAAATCTTTATTATGGCAAACTTATGTTTGTTTTTATTTTACTTATTTGTTTTTATTCTTTTAATATTTATTTACTTTATAGAAAAGAGATTTAAATTCTCAAGACTTATCTGATTTTCCTCTTCAAGTTTGTTTTATTTTATTATTATTATTTTATTGTAATATTATATTATATAATTTAATATTAATTTAATGATAGATTTCATCTTCAATTGAAATTAATGGTAGAATAGGTAAAATTGTATTTACTTCTTATAATAATTTTATTGGAAGAGAAACAAGTTATTTTCCTTTTAAAGGAATTCATATTTTATGTGTTGTTTTTGATTTTTCAAATGATTCAATTAAAAATATTGGTAATTGGATAGAAGAAGGAAAAAGATTTAGTGGTAATAGAAAAATGTATACATTAATTATTGGTCTTTATGATAATTTATCAAATTCAACTAATATACCAACTGAAGTATCTGTTTGTTTATTTAATTTAATTTATTAAATAAAAATAATTTTATATAATAATTATTAGGATATTCTTCTTAAAGATAATACTATTGAATTTTATTCTTATAATAAATTAACAACATTAAATTTATTTAATAAACTTGAACAATATTATATAAAAATTAGATCAAATGATTTAACAGATGATGTAATGTTTGTTTGTTTGTTTAAATAATTATTAATTATTTTTAATACTTATTATTTTTAGTGATAAACAAATTGCAAAAGAAAAAGAATATAAACAAAGAAGAACAATTTCACAAACTGGTATTTTAAATAAAACATTTTCTTCTTCTCCAATAAATCAAGAAGATAAAAAACGTACACTTATTAATTTTAATAAATCGGAAATAATTATTACAATTAAAACTATCATTTTAGGTGATTCTTGTATTTCTGATTTTTCTAAAAGATTATGTACTGGATTATCTATTGATTGGAATACTTCTTTTAATCTTTATTCTTTTGATGATTATCCACCAAAAATACTTCAAATTGATAATAAAAAAACTTTAAAATTAAGAACATATGTTTATGATCATTCAATTAGAAAAGGTGCATCATATACACCTTATTTTAATGTATTAGGAGTAATATTATGTTTTGATTATCAAAAATCAAATACATTTGCAAATCTTATGAATTGGTATAATGAAACTTTAAGGTATTGTAATCTCAAATCAACTCATTATATTATAGTTGGTTTTAATAAATCAAATAATTCTATAGTTACTGATGATGATGTTCAAGGTTTTGTAAATTTCTTTCCAATGAATAAAAGACCTCATGTTTTTTGTTTTGATGAATCTAAAACACATGAATTTGATTTATTATTTGAAGAGTTTTGTCTTGAAATTAATGCAATGGAATTTTCACAACCTTATCTGTTTGTTTTTTTTTTCTTTTATTTTATTTAATCATTTATTTAAATAAAATTATTAATTTTTAGTGATAAATGTAAACCACAAAAAGAAGATATTCCTAAAAGTCGTTTACAATCTGGACGTTCTCAAAGAACTTATTCTTGTGTTCCATCTCCTCAATTTAATTCAAATGAATCATTAACATTGATTGAACATAAACATACTCATCATAAAAAAGAGAAAGATTGTGTTTTATTTTAATTAAATTATAATTGAATAATTAAAATTCTTGTATTTTTTTTTTTAAAATAATTTCAATTAAAACTATATATTTCAAAAATATTCAAAGAAGAAGTTGAAGTAGTAATAAAATAATTAAACAACTAATTACATTAGCTTCACTTCTTTGATTTAAATTAACTTCTTCTACACATTTTCCATAATCATTACATGTAAATCCAACACGACAAACACCACAAGAAGGTAAACAGCTAAAATTAAAAGGAACTTTATGTGATAGTTGATTAGTTATTGTACATTCAGTACCTAAACAATTAAAAGAAACAGAACTACATTCTGTTTGATTTAACATTCTAGTTTCTCTTACTAATTGAGCAGAAATTAAATTAAGTATTGTTCCTTGAGGAACCATATGAATTAATTCAATAATATTAGAAAATCTTTTATTAATTCCAAATAAAGACATTCTCATCTTAATAATTTTTTCTGCTTTATTAAAATAATATTTTATTGGTAAATTAACTTGTGTAGGTGAACAATAATCAAAAGTATATTTTAATACATCTTTACAACGTCCAGTATTTGCAGCAACAAATTTATAATCTAATGAAGAAGTTTCAAATTCTACTTCAAAATAAGAAAAATCTTGATTTAACATAATTGCTGTTGGATACATAAATACCATTGATAAATTTGATGTTTTTCCTATAAATTTAATTTCTTGATCACAATTATCAAATTTTACAACTGTTTTATCTTGATTCCATTGTAAAATTTGCCATGTTAATAATGTACCATGATTTTCTCTACTATCTCTGAAAAAAACATTTTTATCAGCCATATAGTTACATTCAGTCATATCATAATTTACAAATCTACCAATACTAGTATATTTATTTCCCTTCTTCAAATTAACTTTTGGAAAATCAATCTTTTCATTATCAAAAGTAATGAGATGAACAATAATATCATTCTCAAAAAGTGGAATTTCAAATGTATTTTGTGGAGTCATATCATAAAAAATATTATTTATAGAAATCTTTTCTGGATTTCTATTAAAGTCTGTAAATTGAATTGTTGCTGTTGTTTCATTTCTATTAATTAAATAGAGAGTAGGATTTATTCTTAAATCAAAATTAGTTTCTGATAATGTGATTTGTGTCACAACATTAGATGTTTCATCAAATCCACCTGTTAATGTTAGAAATATATTTCTTGGAACACCAATGAATGAATATTCACTTTCATCAGCAACTCCAGAAATATTTAACCTTTCTGATCCTGCTACCATACAAACAATAGGTTTTTGACTTGGTCCCACTAATTGGAGCCATTCACCACATCTACTGATATTACGATTACCTTTTTTGACATATAAGTCATTTTCATCAACAAAACAATAAGATTTGATATTATATCCATGGACATTTGTTTTATAATCAGGAATTTTATCATAACATAATGTACGACGGATTGTTTCAATATTTGTTGGTGCATCAATATTGACTGCAACAAAATCACTCATACAAACAGAGAAGAAATTGTTTTTACCATTTACAATGATGATAATTAATGATATAGCTAACAGATACATTAATTGTTATGTTAGTTTCAAAATCAAATTTATTCAAAAATTCTTTAAAAACAAAAAAAGTAAGTTAGTAGATAAAGAATTAAGGTAGTATATCTTTTTTAATCCAATAGAATAACTATAAGCTTATTATTTGTTTGAACCTAACTCATTTTCTAATGTATAAATAGAAAAAAAGAAACAAAATATTGATTTGAATTGTGAAACAAAACAAAAATGGAGACTTGCCATCTTGGGTATTAAAATAAGTCTAATTTTAGAGACATTCATTCAAAATAGATAACAATACGTTGAATCTAAATATATTTTAGAAACAAAAAAATACTTTGAAGAAGAGAATATTTTCATTATTTAATAGATTATTATTAATATAAATTGTTTTTATTATTTTTATAAGAGTATTTAAGTCTTCATAAAATAAACATAATTTTTAGTGGAATTTATTATTTTGAAAACAATCACTTAATTAATTTAATTCATTTATTTCTCTTCATTAAACCCTTCTAGCCAATTGTTATTTATTAACAATTTTATGAAAACTAGTGTTATTCATAAATAAACACATGAAATTATGTTATTTGTACACAAGAAAATAAAAAAGTAGTTGAAGGAAGATTAAAAGAAATTGAAAAAAGCATTCACATATATTTAATGTATTATTACAATTATCAAATGAATGAAGATTAACAAATAGAAGAAGGAAAGATAAGTTAGAAGAAAAATCAAAGAAAATCTAATTGAAATAGAGAGAAATCATTTAAACCAGCATTTCTCAGAATCTTAGATAATATTATAGTATTCTCATTATTTGAAGAGAATGGATTGAAAGAAATAATTAAATTAAATTAGAAGAGTTGAAATATATTTAAATGTGTTTGTTTTATTGGATGAAATGAAATCACAACCCATTAAACAAGTGAATAAACAAAACTAAACCAAATTATAATAAACAAATCAACACAAGAAATCAAATTAGTGTTATTCATTGTGACTATTAACATCATATTAAACAATTATCTTAATAATGTTGAATACATGTTATTTGTTGTTTTTTTTTAATTGTATACTTTTAAATTAACATTATTTTGGTTTATTTTATGAATTATCAGATACTATTTTGTCATAGAATTTATTATAAACACAATTTTCCATTACTAAATCAACAAATACAACACTCTACTTATTGAAATATTGTTATTTAGTATTTCCAACATATTTATACTGTTAAAATAATCATAGTTATTATTACAATGATTAATTTAATGCTTTAATATTTATTCATTGATAACATCTATTCTTTTG